TTTTTTTTTTTTGGGTAATATCTGTGAAATATATTTCGAAATAGTTCCAATCTACCCGTCTATTCCGAACCTAAGAGTAAGCGGTTGTGGAGAGCCATAGACTTTTTCTTTTTTGCAATATCTGTGAAATATATTTCGAAATAGTTCCAATCTACCCGTCTATTCCGAACCTAACAGTAAGCGGTTGTGGGGAGCCATAGACTTTTTTTTTTGCAATATCTGTGAAATATATTTCGAAATAGTTCCAATCTATCCGTCTATTCCGAACCTAACAGTAAGCGGTTGTGGGGAGCCATAGACTTTTTCTTTTTTAATATCTGTGAAATATATTTCCATAGAAATAGTTCCAATCTACCCGTCTATTCCGAACCTAACAGTAAGCGGTTGTGGAGAGCCATAGACTTTTTTTTTTGCAATATCTGTGAAATATATTTCGAAATAGTTCCAATCTACCCGTCTATTTCCGAACCTAACAGTAAGCGGTTGTGGAGAGCCATAGACTTTTTCTTTTTTGCAATATCTGTGAAATATATTTCGAAATAGTTCCAATCTATCCGTCTATTCCGAACCTAACAGTAAGCGGTTGTGGAGAGTCATAGACTTTTTCTTTTTTGCAATATCTGTGAAATATATTTCGAAATAGTTCCAATCTATCCGTCTATTCCGAACCTAACAGTAAGCGGTTGTGGGGGATAGACTTTTTCTTTTTTGCAATATCTGTGAAATATATTTCGAAATAGTTCCAATCTACCCGTCTATTCCGAACCTAACAGTAAGCGGTTGTGGGGAGTCATAGACTTTTTTTTTTTGCAATATCTGTGAAATATATTTCGAAATAGTTCCAATCTACCCGTCTATTCCGAACCTAACAGTAAGCGGTTGTGGGGAGTCATAGACTTTTTTTTTTTGCAATATCTGAAATATATTTCGAAATATATTTATTCGAAATAGTTGGTTGTGGGGAGTCAATTTTTTTCTTTTTGCCGTCTATTTTCGAACCTTCCAATCTACCCGTCTATTCCGAACCTAAGAGTAAGGGTTGTGGCGGTTGTGGGAACCATAGTACTTTTTCTTTTCTTTTTGCTTTTTTTTTTTTTCCAATATCTGTGAAATATATTTTCGAAATAGTTCTGTGAAATCTACCCGTCTATTCCGAACCTAAGAGTAAGCGGTTGTGGGGAGTCATAGACTTTTCTTTTTTTGCATCTGTGAAATATATTTCGAAATAGTTGCAATCTATCCGTCTATTCCGAACCTAACAGTAAGCGGTTGTGGGGAGTCATAGACTTTTTCTTTGCAATATCTGTGAAATATATTTCAAATAGTTCCAATCTACCCGTCTATTCCGAACCTAAGAGTAAGCGGTTGTGGGGAGTCATAGACTTTTCTTTTTTGCAATATCTGTGAAATATATTTCGAAATAGTTCCAATCTACCCGTCTATTCCGAACCTAACAGTAAGCGGTTGTGGGGAGTCATAGACTTTTTCTTTTTTTTAATATCTGTGAAATATATTTCGAAATAGTTCCAATCTATCCGTCTATTCCGAACCTAACAGTAAGCGGTTGTGGGAGCGGACTTTTCTTTTTGTATCTGTGGATAGTTCCAATCTACCCGTCTATTCCGAACCTTTTTTTTTTTTTTTGCAATATCTGTGAAATATATTTCGAAATAGTTCCAATCTACCCGTCTATTCCGAACCTAAGAGTAAGCGGTTGTGGGGAGTCATAGACTTTTTTCTTTTTTTATCTGTGAAATATATTTCGAAATAGTTCCAATCTACCCGTCTATTCCGAACCTAAGAGTAAGCGGTTGTGGAGAGTCATAGACTTTTCTTTTTGCAATATCTGTGAAATATATTTCGAAATAGTTCCAATCTATCCGTCTATTCCGAACCTAACAGTAAGCGGTTGTGGAAGCCATTTTTTTTCTTTTTTTTGCAATATCTGTGAAATATATTTCGAAATAGTTCCAATCTACCCGTCTATTCCGAACCTAAGAGTAAGCGGTTGTGGAGAGCCATAGACTTTTTCTTTTTTGCAATATCTGTGAAATATATTTCGAAATAGTTCCAATCTACCCGTCTATTCCGAACCTAAGAGTAAGCGGTTGTGGGAGCGGTTTTTCTTTTTGTATCTGTGAAATATATTTCGAAATAGTTCAATCTAAAGTCTATTCGAACCTAAGAGACCATAGACTTTTTTTTTTGCAATATCTGTGAAATATATTTCAAATAGTTCCAATCTACCCGTCTATTCCGAACCTAAGAGTAAGCGGTTGTGGAGAGCCATAGACTTTTTCTTTTTGCAATATCTGTGAAATATATTTCGAAATAGTTCCAATCTATCCGTCTATTCCGAACCTAACAGTAAGCGGTTGTTAGTTATAGACTTTTTCTTTTTTGCAATATCTGTGAAATATATTTCGAAATAGTTCCAATCTACCCGTCTATTCCGAACCTAAGAGTAAGCGGTTGTGGGGAGCCATAGACTTTTTTTTTTGCAATATCTGTGAAATATATTTCGAAATAGTTCCAATCTACCCGTCTATTCCGAACCTAAGAGTAAGCGGTTGTGGAGAGTCATAGACTTTTTTTTTTTTTGCAATATCTTTATATTTCCCGTCTATTCCGAACCTAACAGTAGTTCCAATCTAATATTGTGAAATCTATTTCCGAACCTAATTCCGAACCTAAGCGGTTGTTGGGGAGTCATAGACTTTTCTTTTTTGCAATATCTGTGAAATATATTTCGAAATAGTTTTCTATCCGTCTATTCCGAACCTAACAGTAAGCGGTTGTGGGGAGCCATAGACTTTTTCTTTTTGCAATATCTGTGAAATATATTTCGAAATAGTTGCAATCTATCCGTCTATTCCGAACCTAACAATAAGCGGTTGTGGGGAGCCATAGACTTTTTCTTTTTTTGCAATATCTGTGAAATATATTTCGAAATAGTTCCAATCTACCCGTCTATTCCGAACCTAACAGTAAGCGGTTGTGGGGAGTCATAGACTTTTCTTTTTGCAATATCTGTGAAATATATTTCGAAATAGTTGCAATCTATCCGTCTATTCCGAACCTAACAGTAAGCGGTTGTGGGAGTCATAGACTTTTCTTTTTTTGCAATATCTGTGAAATATATTTCAAATAGTTCCAATCTACCCCGTCTATTCCGAACCTAAAGTTTTCTTTATGTGGGGGAGCCATATACTTTCGAAATAGTTTTTTTCGCCTAATATCTGTGAAATATATTTCTTTTTGAAATAGTTCAATTTATCCGTCTATTCCGAACCTAAGAGTAAGCGGTTGTGGGGAGTCATAGACTTTTTCTTTTTTGCAATATCTGTGAAATATATTTCGAAATAGTTTTTTTTCTTTTTGCACCCGTCTATTCCGAACCTAACAGTAAGCGGTTGTGGGGGAGTCATAGACTTTTCTTTTTGCAATATCTGTTTTGCAATATCTGTTGAAATATATTTCGAAATCTGTGAAATTTCAATCTATCTATCCGTCTATTCGAACCTAACAGTAAGCGGTTGTGGAGAGTCATAGACTTTTTTTTTTGCAATATCTGTGAAATATATTTCGAAATAGTTGCAATCTATCCGTCTATTCCGAACCTAACAGTAAGCGGTTGTGTGGGGAGTTAGACTTTTTCTTTTTGCAATATCTGTGAAATATATTTCGAAATAGTTCCAATCTACCCGTCTATTCCGAACCTAAGAGTAAAAAGCGGTTGTGGGGAGTCATTTTTTTTCTTTTTGCAATATCTGTGAATATATTTCGAAATAGTTCAATCTATCCGTCTATTCCGAACCTAACAGTAAGCGGTTGTGGGGAGTCATAGACTTTTCTTTTTTGCAATATCTGTGAAATATATTTCGAAATAGTTGCAATCTACCCTCTATTCGAACCTAACAATAAGCGGTTGTTGAGAGCCATAGACTTTTCTTTTGCAATATCTGTGAAATATATTTCAAAATATTGAAATTACCAATCTATTCCCCAAGTGTCTATTCCATAGACTTTGTCTTTTTTGCAATATCTGTGAAATATATTTCGAAATTCGGTTGTTCATAGACTTTTTTTTGCAATATCTGTGAAATATTTTTTTTTGAAATAGTTGCAATCTATCCGTCTATTCCGAACCTAACAGTAAGCGGTTGTGGAGAGCCATTTTTCTTTTTTCAATATCTGTGAAATATATTTCTTTAGTTCCAATCTATTGTCTATTCCGAACCTAAGAGTAAATAGTTCTTTCCGTTTTAGACTTTTCTTTTTTGCAATATCTGTGAAATATATTTCGAAATAGTTTTCTACCCGTCTATTCCGAACCTAAGAGTACGGTTGTGGAGAGCCATAGACTTTTCTTTTTTGCAATATCTGTGAAATATATTTCGAAATAGTTCCAATCTCTACCGTCTATTCCGAACCTAAGAGTAAGCGGTTGTGGGGAGCCATAGACTTTTCTTTTTTTCAATATCTGTGAAATATATTTCGAAATAGTTCCAATCTACCCTCTATTCCGAACCTAACAGTAAGCGGTTGTTGTAGACTTTTCTTTTTACAATATCTGTTATATTTCGAAATAGTTCAAATCTACCCGTCTATTCCGAACCTAACAAGTTAGGTTTGGAGAGCCATTTTGCTTTTTTTGCAATATCTGTGAAATATATTTCGAAATAGTTCCAATCTACCGTCTTTCCGAACCTAACAGTAAGCGGTTGTGGATAGCCATAGACTTTTCTTTTTTTTTCTTTTTGTGAAATATATTTCGAAATAGTTTCTACCCAATCTATTCCGAACCTAATTAATCTTTCCGCGTTGTAAGGGTCATAGACTTTTCTTTTTTGCAATATCTGTGAAATATATTTCCTAGTTTTCTATCCGTCTATTCCGAACCTAACAGTAAGCGGTTTTGGGAGTCATTTCTTTTTCTTTTTGCAATATCTGTGAAATATATTTCTAGTTCAATCTATCCGTCTATTCCGAACCTAACAATGTTTTTGTGGGGAGCCATAGACTTTTTCTCTTTTTTTATTTCGCAATTCTGTGAAATATATTTCGAAATAGTTCCAATCTACCCGTCTATTCTTTTAACAATTACGGTTGTGGGGAGTCATAGACTTTTTCTTTTTATCTGTGAATTATATTTTCGAAATAGTTCCAATCTATCTTTCCGGAACCTAACAGTTTTTAGACTTTTTCTTTTTGCAATATCTGTGAAATATATTTCGAAATAGTTCAATTACCCGTCTATTCCGAACTAACATTTGTGGGGACATAGACTTTTCTTTTTTTCAATATCTGTGAAATATAAATATAGTTTCTATCCCGTCTATTCGAACCTAACAGTAAAGCGGTTTGTGGGAGTCATAGACTTTTCTTTTTTGCAATATCTGTGAAATATATTTCAAAATAGTTTTGCAATCTACCCGTCTATTCCGAACCTAACATTCGGTTGTGGAGAGCCATAGACTTTTCTTTTTTTGCAATATCTGTGAAATATATTTCAAATAGTTTTCTACCCGTCTTTTCGAACCTAACGTTGTGAAGAGCTTTTTTTTTTTTGCAATATCTGTGAAATATATTTTCGAAATTTCCAATTTCTATTCCTGAACCTAATTAAGCAGTTGTGAAGAGCCATAGACTTTTCTTTTTATCTGCAATATTAGTTGAAATATATTTCTTTTTTTCTTTTTGCAATATCTGTGAAATTTTATTCCGAACCTAAGTGTTAGCATTGTTTCATAGACTTTTTCTTTTTTTGCAATATCTGTGAAATATATTTCGAAATAGTTCCAATCTACCCGTCTATTCCGAACCTAAGTCTTGTGGAGAGCCATTTTTTCTTTTTGCAATTATATTTCGAAATAGTTCAATCTACCCGTCTAATCGAACCTTTCTTTTTTTTCTTTTTTGCAATATCTGTGAAATATATTTCGAAATAATTCCAATCTCCGTCTATTCGAACCTAAGAGTAAGCGGTTTTACATAGACTTTTTCTTTTGAAATATCTGTAAATTTATTTTGGAAATAGTTTTTATCCGTTATTCGAACCTAACAGTAAGCGGTTGTGGGGAGTCATAGACTTTCTTTTTTGCAATATCTTTATTTCAAATTTCCAATCTACCCGTTCTTTCCTTTTCTTTTTGCAATTTGTGCAATCTACCCGTCTTTCCGAACCTAAGAGGAAGCGGTTGTGGGGTCATAGACTTTGTCTTTTTGCAATATCTGTGAAATTTATTTTAGTTCTTTTTTCTATTCCGTACCTAAGAATTAAGCGGTTGTGGATACAGACTTTTTTTTTGCAATATTTTATATTTCAAATTTCCAATCTACCGTCTATTCGAACCTAAGAGTAAGCGGTTGTGGGGAGTTTTTTCTTTTTACAATATCTGTGAAATTATTTCGAAATAGTTGCAATCTACCCGTTTTCCGAACCTTTTAATTACATTACAGTCATAGACTTTGTCTTTTTGCAATATCTGTGAAATATATTTTTGAAATAGTTACAATCTATTCTATTTCTTTTGCAATAAGCGGTTGTGGGGAGTCATTTTTGTCTTTTTGCAATATCTGTGAAATATATTTATTTTGCGAAATAGTTGCAATCTTTCCGTCTATTCCGAACCTTTTCTTTTTGTGGGGAGTTATTCTTTTCTTTTTTTTTATTTTGCAAATATATTTCCTTTTCTAGTTCCAATCTATCTAATTAGGCGGTTGTGGGGGACACAGACTTTTCTTTTTGCAATTACTATTCCGAACCTACAATTTTGTCTTTTTTCTGTGAAATATTTTGCAATTACCCGTTACATTCTTTTTTTTTTTCTTTTGCAATTACGTTACAATCTTTTTTTTTCTTTTGCAATTACATTTTCTTTTGCACACTTTTCTTTTTTTTTTACAATTACTGTTTCTTTCCTTTTAGTTCAATCTTTCCTTTTTCTTTTTCTTTTTGCAATTTTTCTTTGTGGGGAGTACATTCTTTCTTTTTTTTTTGCAATTACGTTACATACTTTCTTTTTTTTGCTTTTACAATTAATTCTGGCGTTACATTTTCTTTTTTCCTTTTTTTTTTCTTTTGCAATTACGTTACAATCTTTTTTCTTTTGCAATTACGTTACACACTTTCTTTTTTCTTTTACAATTACGTTACATTCTTTTTTTCTTTTCGAACCTAATCCTTTTTTCTTTTGCAATTACGTTACAATCTTTTTTTTTTCTTTTTTCTGCAATTACGTTACAATCTTTTTCTTTTTTACTTTTTTTACTTTTGAACAATTACGTTACATCTTTTTCTTTTTTTTTTCTTTTTTGCAATTTTTGTTTTTTTTCAATATCTGCAATTACACTTTTTTTTTTTTACAATTACGTTACATTCTTTCCTTTTTTCTTTTGCAATTACGTTTACAATCTTTTCTTTTTTCTTTTGCAATTACGTTACAATCTTTTTTCTTTTGCAATTTTACAATCTTTTTTTTTTTTTTTGCAATTACGTTACATTCTTTTTTCTTTTTCTTTTGCAATTATATTACAATCTTTTTTCTTTTACAATTACGTTACACACACACTTTCTTTTTTTCTTTTACAATTTTGCGTTACATTCTTTTTTCTTTTTTTTTTTCTTTTTTTACAATTACGTTACAATCTTTTTTTCTTTTGCAATTACGTTACACACTTTCTTTTTTCTTTTACAATTACGTTACATTCTTTCCTTTTTCTTTTGCAATTACGTTACAATCTTTTTTTCTTTTGCAATTACGTTACACACTTTCTTTTTTCTTTTACAATTACGTTTTTTTTCTTTTTTTTCTTTTTTCTTTTACGTTTTTTTTTGCTTTTTTTTCTTTTGCAATTACGTTACATTCTTTCCTTTTTCTTTTTTTTTTTTACGTTACATTCTTTCTTTTTTTTTGCTTTTGCAATTACGTTACAATCTTTTTTTTCTTTTTACAATTACGTTACATTCTTTCTTTTTCTTTTTTACAATTACATTACATTCTTTTTGCAATTACTTTTTCTTTTTTTCAATTATGTTACATTTTTTGCAATTACAATTTTTTTCTTTTGCACTTTCTTTTTTCTTTTGCAATTACGTTACATTCTTTCCTTTTTCTTTTGCAATTACGTTACAATCTTTTTTCTTTTGCAATTACGTTACACACTTTCTTTTTTCTTTTACAATTACGTTACATTCTTTCCTTTTTCTTTTGCAATTACGTTAAAATCTTTTTTCTTTTGCAATTACGTTACAATCTTTCTATTTCTTTTACAATTACGTTACATTCTTTCCTTTTTCTTTTGCAATTACGTTACAATCTTTTTTCTTTTGCAATTACGTTACACACTTTCTTTTTTCTTTTGCAATTACGTTACATTCTTTCCTTTTTCTTTTGCAATTACGTTACAATCTTTTTTTTTTTGCAATTACGTTACACACTTTCTTTTTTCTTTTACAATTACGTTACATTCTTTCCTTTTTCTTTTGCAATTACGTTACAATCTTTTTTCTTTTGCAATTACGTTACACACTTTCTTTTTTCTTTTGCAATTACGTTACAATCTTTCTTTTTTCTTTTGCAATTACGTTACACACTTTCTTTTTTCTTTTGCAATTACGTTACATTCTTTCCTTTTTCTTTTGCAATTACGTTACAATCTTTTTTTCTTTTGCAATTACGTTACACACTTTCTTTTTCTTTTGCAATTACGTTACCCTCTTTTTTCTTTCGCAATTACGTTACACTCTTTCTTTTTTCTTTTGCAAATAGGTTATACTCTTTCTTTTCCTTTTGCAATTACGTTACACCCTTTCTTTGTCTTTTGCAATTAGGTTACACTCTCTTTTTTTCTTTCGCAATCGCGTTACACCCTTTCTTTTTCTTTTGCAATTACCTTACACTTTTTCTTTTTTTTTCTTTTGCATTTAGTTTACACTCTGTGTGTAAAGAACTTTTCAAGTACAAATATCGTTTCGATATGGTGAAAATACATAAGTTTTATATCAAAATTTGTTAAGTCTTTCTTCATAATAATAGCACAAAGATTATTACGATAGAGTTAATTTTTTAGATAAGTATTTCGGCATCTGTGTCTGCTGACACAGTTTTTTACTCCTGTCTTAATGTTAAGTCTGATTGGTTCGATAAGGTCAAATTGGAAGCTGATCTAATAAATGACCTACAATCTATTTGTTAAATGGGGCAAGAAATGACTTGGTAATTTTAATGCCTCCAAAACGAAACTGATCTCTTTTAATCGTTTGTCTTCCATCAGCGTGACAGATACTAACCTCCGGGAGTGTGAATCATTGCGTCTTCTTGGACTAGCGAAATCTGCTAACATGAAGTGGAAACGGTATATTTAATCAAATGCTAAGTCTACAGCTAAGAAAGTTGATTTATTATGTCGTGCTAGAGAATTTTTCTTACCAGAATCTATGTTACATATTTATAGGTCTACCATTCGTCGTTGCATTGAATATTGCTGCCATTTCTGGTTTGATACTTCTACTATATATTTAGAGAATCTTGAAAAACTGCAAAGAAGAAACTGCAATGTTATTGGCTTTGACCTGGCATCTCGGCTTCAATCCTTTTCTCATCGCCCTAATGTAGCTTCCCTGTATTTTTTCTAGAAATACTTTCATGGTAATTGTTCTGGTGATCTTTCCGCAATGATACCTAGCCTTTGTGAATTTAAGCGCAGTACTAGATTGGTTGCAAGGTCTCATCAATTTACATTTGAAATGGCTAGATGTAACCGCAAGTTCTATGCTAACATTATCTTCTCTCGCACTTCTCGGTAGTGAAACTCTCTTCAGGCCTCTTGCTTCCCAGTCAACTTTGACCTACAAAAGTTTAAATGCAATATCAATCGTAATCTTCTGTCTTCTTAATTCTTATTCTTTTATTGTCCTCTCTCCTTATTAGTAGTTTTTTTTCTCCTATTCAAAAAACGAAAGAGAGCTTGGAGAATTTGACACTCACAAGTCATACTGAAGACAAGTGTGGCGGCTGTAAAGAAAGCTACATACCGAACGAGTTTGTATAAATGGATGCCAGAACAGGGATTAGGGGAGATAGCCAAAATTTACGAAGTGCTACAAAGGACAGGAATTTGTGGAGAGCCATGATCTCCCACGCCCTGTATAGACATGGGACAAAGAAAAAGAAGGACAATGCCAAGAAAACGACGATGAATCATTCCTTGTAACGAATTATTTCTTGTAATATTAAGCGGTGGAATCATATTCTTTTTCTTTATTATTTTTTTAATCATTTCACCCTAATCAAGGTGGGAGTTCAACTAGTACGCAAGACAATCCTTATTTCACCTGTGTTTTATGTGAAACCGAATTATTACTATAGTGTTGCCGTATCTATCCTCAATAGTTTTTTTTTATATTTTTATTTAATATCCTGCTCTCGTGGTAAAAAGTCAAATGCCTTTTCATAGTATAAAAAAGCTTAAAACGTGGTTTGTATTCTGTTGTGTAGTCCCAGTTGTTGTTCTAATATTTAAATGGGCTTTTGTTTAGTAACTATTACCTATATTCACTGATCATTTGCATCTCGAATATTTTGAATTAATCTGATAAATGTCAAGTTCTTTAGTGAATACTTTTATGAAGTAGAATTACTATTAAATAGTAATATGAGGTAAATTTATCAAGTAGAATTGCTTTTACATAGTAATACGAGGTAAATAGCTATGCTATTTTTTATAGAAACTTCTGTCTTACTAAAGGTCCGTTACTCTTCCACCTTCATATGATGTTTTTTACGTTTTATATTTGTAGCGCAAACCTTATTTTATTTATGGTTACGTTAGGAACATCGTTAGTATCTGTCATGTGAACTGTTTTACTTTTGGTTTGTTTTTTTGAACATGGATATTTGCATATTACACCTTGTATCTAAATTTGGTTAACTAACCCTTTTCTCTGTTTCAGTGCGAGCTAACAATTACTATTTATTTACATAAGCTGTAGATAGGACGTATTTTCAGTTCTTCCCTTTACTTGTAGTCTCTTCTCTTAGTAAAAAATTCCTTTACCTTTTTACATAACTCATTTTTGCAGATTAGTGTATTTCACGGAGCCTTTTTAATTCCCCCTCTTTCTACTTAAGAACACGTTACACCTTTTTAAATAGGTTCTAGTGTTTACTTTTATTATTTCTTTTTTTTTATTTTCTATCTCCTCGTTATTTCTGTTGCTTCTTCAAAATTATAACTATCAATTTGTTATTCGAGATTAACATGAAACACTGGATTAGTATCTGTCTATATTTCTTAGATGAGGTATTATGTACGCTATTTACATTATTCGAACTGTTGTCCTCATCTTTGTCGCCATATTTGTAATAAATATGGCGACAAAGATGAGGACAATAGTCCGAATAATGTAAATAGTGAACACTGGATTAATTTATCAGTATACTCTTGACAAAAATACCACTTCAAATTTTTACATACATAGCGAAATATTTACATTTTTTTCTTAAGCAATAATCTGACGTCAGTTTCAAATAAAAGCTTTTTTTCCGTATATCTCGATTATACTTACAAACTGTCATTATGGAAATTAAAAATTACACTGAAAACTTTTGGAAAATTTACAGTTTTTTATTTGAAATCAACAAAATAGAAAGCTTAAAGTACATTGATATAGTGATTTTCCAAGCGTAGCTTAGATGCGGTACAAGGCCGAAAGTATAGAGCACCCAGTGAGGATCGAACTCACTACTCAGTCGTAACTATTCTAGCGAAACAAGTTTGCTAACCATTACACCGCCTCGTGGTGGCCTCACCTTGATCGCGCTATATGGAAACAAAAAAAAAGGCCCCAGTTCACGTGTATCCTCCTAACATTAATTTAAACAGGTACCTACTTTTTTTCCGATATATCTAACCTATAATTTTAGAAAGTGAATATTTCACCGAAATATTATGGAAACTTTTCATATGTTCCTGGCGTCAGTTTAAACTAATTTCGGAAAAGCGAAAATTCAATAGAAATATGTTGAAAGATCTTTCAAATGAAAAAAAAAATTCTTCTTATCTCCTGTGTTTCTCTTTAGGCGCGAAAATCAAATGTAATTATAGATCGTTAAATCGTTTTTATTTTTTGAAGTCCCCAGCCCAAATTTTCTTGGCTTTAAATATTTAATATCTTAAAAACGTTTGTCATAGAGTTTCGTAAACAGAACGAAAATAATCCAGGTGTGATATTTAATTATCGGAGATAATCAATATTTCATGTATTCACTAGATTATGTTTTTAGTTTACATAAAATGTATGCTATTCAAATCTTCTGCATTTATGAATTTATTTAGATGAAATTTTGACTGAATTTAAACGATCTCCTTCTGGCGTCAGTTTAAACTTACACTATATTTTCTTAATTACATGAAGTATAATTATAAAATATAATTTTAATAAATGAAAATTTCACTGAAATTTGTTGGATTAGATTAAGTCAGTTACCATTCTCGTAAAGAATATATATATATATGTGTGTGTGTGTGTGTGTGTGTGTGTGTGTGTGTGTGTGTGTGTGTGTGTGTGTGTGTGCGAGATCTATGAACTGAAGTGTTTGGTATCGGTACCTAAGACATTTTTCTCCATGAGACAAGGTTAAAATTATATCGAAATCTTGACCATCAACAGTCCCATGACAGAGTGAGTGTCTTGATCCAATCCTTTCCCAAGTCTACCTACAGCCGATGTCCTCTAACTTGAAGGTTCACCTTTCTCTCGGAGACGTGACTTCTGATTATATCAGGAGAATTCTCCGCCTTGGTCGTTGACATGAGTCTAAGAAGGCCTCTCACTCAGCGGCCATCATGTGTCGTCAGCACACTGACTGGATACCTAACTATAGAGGTCAGTGTGCACTTCACCTTGGTGCAATGGTTTGCCACCTTGTCTCGCTAGATCAGTTACGACTGAATAGTGAGTTTGATCCTCACTGTGTCCTATACTGTCGGTCTTCTACCGCATCTATGCGCCGCTTAGAAAATCATATTGGAACATTTCTGTTACTTCATCCAAATAATGTTTTACAGCATATCAACCTAAATGGGTTATTTAATGCCCTCATTTTTTTTATTAATGTTATTTTTTTTTTTTTCAAAAATGTATTTCTGGTAATATTTTTTCTCCAAAATTGTATAGCTGGCATTTTCTTTTTTTTCCAAAAATATATTGCTGGTAATAATTTTTCTTCAAAAACAGAAGTGCAATAGAAAGGCCTGGCTCTGGAAGAATTTGGTGTGAATTTCAGTAGATATAAATTCTTTTTATTTGGGGTGAATTTTAAAAAATATAATTTTGGTGGGGGTGGGGGTGAATTAATATTTCGGGGCGAATTAACAGAAAAAATATCCACCACCTTAACGATAGGGCTCAGTTTACCTCATTGTTACTCACGCAAATATTAATTCACCCCAGTAAATCTTAATCAATTTTTTTATTACATTTTTGGCAATCTTTTAAAATTATAAATTTTAAATCAAAATTTGTTTATCTTGCCTCGCAACAACTCCAACCCTCAGAATGAAAAATTACCAAACATCAGGAAGTTCTTCACATTTCGTAAGTGCGGATTATATACGAAGTACTTACAAGGAAATTTTTACAATTCAAAAAAAAAAGAAGAAAAATATCTGTTTTTAACTTGCTTATTGTGGTAAGCGCGAACGTAGAGCCCTACACTAAAAACAGCGCACCGAGTCACCCACATTTGGAACGATCGCAAAGGTCAACCTAACCAACTGGAGTGCAATGGAAGGGCCTGGCTCTGGGAAAATTTGGTGTGAATTTTAGTAAATATAAATTCTTTTTATTTTTAGGTGAATTAATATTTCGGGGCGAATTAACAGAAAAAATATCCACCAACTTACCTCACTGTGTAAGATGGTTGCTAACCCTACAAGAAAATTCACCCGCCCTGTTTGTTTGTTAGTTTGGGTTTTATGGCATATCAATCACTGTGGGTTATTTAATGCCAAATCCAGTTTATATGAATTTCAAATGCCTATTTTGTCCTGGCAACATTATTGTTTCAAAAAAAACGTATAGCTGGCAACATTATTTGTTTCAAAAGCATACAGCTGGCAACATTATTGTTTCAAAACGTATAGCTGGCAATATTATTTTTCCCAAAAAACGTATAGCTGGCAACATTATTGTTTCCAAAAAAACCTATAGCTGGCAACATTATTGTTTCAAAAACGTATAGCTGGCAACATTATTTTTCCCAAAAAACGTATAGCTGACAACATTATTCTCCTGAAAACACTATCTGAGGTCTTCCTTGCAGGACGTAGTTTATCGTCATACCCAGGACGCGGATGTAGTTTATCGTCATACCCAGGACGCTCACCCGCCCTGTTTGACATGTATTGTTTCCAATTCTTCTGAATATCTAGCCATCCTCTTCTCCAGAAAATCTTGGTCAGGGAACCGTATCAGTCGACAATGACTCGACCATGAGTCAGGTGGTTATATGATAGCAGCAACGCTCTCAGAGTGACCTGATATCTAGAGGCTAAATCCATAGAACAGGCCTACCTTTTGATGCCTCTAGAGAATTGTGGACTTTACATAAGACTGCATTGTTATCACACAATTGAATGGAAAAGCATCGGTTGTTTAATTTTAGCTTAACGGTCTCAAAAACTACTAATCGAGCATTAAATTTGGTAAATAATTTCAACTAGTACAAACTTGTTTGCTGATAGGGATTAGTTAATTTGTTACTGCTAATTGGTTATTCTTTTCCCAAACTCTAATGGTCGCCACTGCTTCATACTGTACTGTACTGATGCGGCATTCACCCTGGGCGGATTGAGCCGGCTTCTTCCTGTTATGAGAAGAAGATTCTTGGGATAAATTACAGAAGTAGGGTACCCAGGCCTACCCGGATAACGTTCTTGCTTGCCGCGGGATTCCCACAGACGCAGAGACAGGAACGACCAGAAGCCGCCGGTTACCGATGCAGACGCTCCTTGGATTTTCACCAGAGCCCTTGTTAGCCGGCATGTGTGTCAGACCTGTCCGCCTTGGGTGGCCCTACCAGGAACGAAGTTCCGGGCGGCATACTCTGACACTACCGTTTACACCCCCCACCGACTGTGAGGTAAGGGTTGGACTTTGGGGGCTTACAGTACCAGGTGTTCCCAAGCGGTCCCCCATCTAAGTACTAACCTGGCTCTACGATGCTTAACTTCGGTGATCGAACGAGAACCGGTGTTTTCAGCGTGATTTGACCGTAAGCTTCATACTGCTTCATACGCCGACTGCTAGTTCTAAAGGTCAAACCAACATAAGACGCAAGAGCCACTCAGGGTAGTGGGCCACCAAATGAGGGATGTTATCTAAATGTAAGAGTAAGAAGTAGGAAGAAAATATGTTGATACCGACGATGGATAACGACTGAGCCTTGACTACAAGAGGTTAAGATTGTAGCACTTGGGGACAACATCCACACGGGAGTCACTTTCCCAAAGCAGCTCCTCTTGAGAAAAAGCTGTTTAAAATGATCTTTCTTCCATAGTTGGAATACGAAGGACGTTTTAATAATTTCACCCCATGCAAGGTAGTAACGCCACCAATATACAAGGGGTTACTGGGTGTGGATTTTTTTTTTTTTTTTTAAAAGAGAAAAACATTATTAAGGAGCGAGAACAATAGAAGAGTAATCAAGAAGACAATAGTTAACGATTGCATTTAAATATTTGAAGATCAAAGTTGACGGGAAAGCGTGGATCCAGAAGAGAGTTCCACAAGCGAGAAAAGACACTGTTAGCATAGAACTTACGGTTACATTCAACCAATTCAACTGTGAATTAATGAGACCTTGTCGCTAGTCTCATACTGCTCTTAAATTCATAAACTCTAGGTACCATAGCGAAAACTTTATCCGAACAATTACCATGAAATTATTTCTAATAAAGACATAGGGAAAACATATTACGGCGATGGGAAAGTGATTGAAGCCGAATCGCCAGGTCCTGACCAATAATATTGCTGATTCTTCTTTGGATCTTATCAAGAATCTCTAAACACGCAGCAGGCGGATTGGACCATATGTGGCAGCAATATTCAAAACATGGATGAATTATAGACTTATAAATTTGTAAGATAGATTCTTGTGAGAAAAGTTGTCTAGCACGCCACAGTTAGTAATAAATGTCTTAATTTTTTTTTTTTTAAGCGATTCACCCCAAGCAAGTCAGGAAGCCACTAGGACGCAAGGGGTTACAGAAAATTTGGAGCAAGATCAGATAGGAGTGATAGAGGAAAGGATGAGGAGAAGGATAGTGGATAGATCAAGGCAACTGGAGATGTCGATTGACATTACATTTGAATAGTTGGAGATTATAGCTCTCTGGGAAACAGGAATAGGGAAGGGAGTTCCACAGGCGAGAGGTGCGAGGTATGAAGCTATTGGAGTAGAAGAGACGGCTACATTTAATAGTTTCGACAGTGAAAGGGTGAGAGCGGGATGCCAGCCTCGTAGGGCGCTTGAATTCATGAAGTCTGGGAACCAGCGAATGCAGCTCATCGGAGCAATTACCATGAAAGTATTTGTAAAAAAGACGGTACGTCTGTGAGGAAGTGACTGTAGACGAGATGCCAGAACAGGGCCAATTATATTGCATATCCGTCTCTGGATCTTATCGAGAACCTCGAGGCAAACAGAAGGGGCTCCAGACCATATATGGCAGCAATACTCCATGCAAGGGCGAATTGTTGATTTGTAGATCTGAAGGATCGATTCCGGGAATTGGGCGAAATAAATAATGGTTCAAATTCCGTGTGAAGAAATTTGTGTTCGTTTTGAACTCGAGACTTCTTCTAAAATTCTATCTTTATCAGGTAATTCAGGTAATGAATGCATCGTTTTTTTTAATGGTACCATCTACCCCAGTACAATCAGGTGTATTTTGGAAAGAAAACGAGCCCTGCCAAGTAATTTACATAGCTCCGATAAATAACATCAAGGACACTGACTATCTCGTACGTCATCTTATAATTTGCTTCTTGTTTTTTTTAAATTAATTCACCCGCAAGCAAGGCGATAATGCCACTAAGACGCAAGGGGGCTACTTTAGAAGGAACCAGAAACTTAATCCTAAAAAGGAGTAAGGAATAAACCTCTATCCCTGCTAAATAAAGAAATAAAAAAAAACCCAGGGAGGCTATGAACCGGGTGATAGACGAACCTATTTACTGTTAATGATTGATTGAATTCTAAATGTGACTTTCTCAAATGAGAATGACCGTTTATCTCAGGTTAAGGTTTCTTCCCGCAAAATGTAATCATTCGCTTTTTCATTGTCTTTCTTTCATTTCACAAGTCTCTACTGCTTCCGCCAGAGGATGGAAGGGCTACACAAAAGGACACTAAATAACCACGTGTACCTTTACGCTTCTCAATCCGCTACAAATTCTAAGCACCATTATCCAACCAGACTTGCATGCCAATAATTTCCTGTCAAGGCCGATTATCCAAGCGGTAATTGTAATCAATCCACAACGAATTAGCGTCTATGTATACTGATTATCCTGTGTTACTGTCAGAATGTCTAGTCTTCATTACCCTTTCTTTTTCTGAGTATCTGCAATTTTTTTCTTTCATCAATTCATTCAGCAACTCTGTCAAGCAAAGAGATGGGACATCCGACTAGTAGCGATCACCTGATGATTAAGACTATATTCGTCTTTCAGACTAAATCATTCGCCATTATTTATTTCGCTGCTGCCGGAGGCGTTACCTATCTATACATCAGCTATTCCTTCCGCTTATCTCCCTTGTTTCTTTCGCTCTTCAATTCAATATTTCTCATTTCCCAACTCGTTCTCCTTTCCTCTTGCCGTACACACATTTCTTTTTTTTTCCCCTCTTTCATCAACGTCTTTTCCCAGAACAGAAGTTTTATTTGCTTTTTCTCTTTCTATCTCAGCAAGAATATTTTAGACTTTTCCCCCAACTTTTTTTTTCTATCGAAGACACAGTTTTTCTTTACCTCTCTTTTGCTTGACATTCGGATGATAGGCTTCCAGGTTTTTGTATTTTAATTAATTGTTTGAATATTTTACGTCTTATCAAGTTTTTCACAGGTTATTTTAAACCAGAAATTATTTTTAGGTTATAAGAATTTTTGCGGGGAGATAATAATGATTTACTGATAAAAGTTCTACTAATTAACCCGTAGGTGATAGTAGAGGAGGTGAATTCATACCATTCCCAAGGGTATTTGCGCGTAAGCGAATTTAACTCACCCTAATGGAATTGGAACTGAGACTTCAGATTTTCAATTCCAAGCCGTTATCCATTGCACCATCCACATATCCAAGATTACAGCACCCGGTATTCCCAAGCGGTCGCCCATCTGGATTTTTATATATATATATATATATATATATATATATATATATATATATATATATATATATATATATACATATATATATATATATATATATATATATATATATATATATATATATAAAAAAGATATATATATATAAAAAAGAAGAAGAGAGGTGCCGCAAACGTTTTTGTTGTAATGTGGATTTATTTAGAAAAAATATTATGCTTTGTTTTACATGATTTTACGACACGTATTTAATTATTTTTTAATAATATGTGGAAATCTCCACTTTTACCTGAAGACGGTCGCGTGACCAGAAACACGTGTCGTAAAATCATGTAAAACAAAGCATAATATTTTTTTCTAAATAAATCCACATTACAACCAAAAATCGTTTGCGGCACCTCTTCTTCTTTTTAATATACATACTTTTTCTCGTTGGAACCACTACAATATATTTCTCTATATATATATATATATATATATATATATATATAATAAATATATATATATATATATATATATATGATATGCTATATTTGTGGGGATACAGTGCTCAATATCAGAGATAGAGATGTAAATGTAAAAGTGAACATTGAGGTCAACACTCAGAGGCGACGGGCCATTTTATGCTAGACGCAATCGTCAGGCGGCCTGGCGGTTGCATCTAGCATGAAATAGCCTGTCGCCTCTGAATGTTGACCTCAATGTTCACCTTTAAAAGAGGGAACAGTAGAGAGGAAAACTGGATCAGGAGGTCCCAACAGGAAGAGGGATCAGCATTTCAATTTAAAGCTAAAGAGATCAATTAGAAAAATCTAACTCAGTTCATGAGACGTTTAGCACGTGAGAGAGGGCTTTCAGCTATGAGAGTCCAAAGTGCAGTGAAAAAAGACTTGAAAATGAAATCGTACGTGAAACCTGTGAGTCAACTTGTTACTTCAGGACAGTAAGCTAGAAGGTTTGAGCGGGCGAAGACCATTTTTTAATAAGTTGCAAAAGGACCCTGGAATTATATATATATATATATATATATATATATATATATATATATATATATATATATTGAACTATCTTTCAATCCTTTATGAGCTTCTAGTCCTTGGCTATGATTAATTTATAATGAACATGTTTTCGTTTATGATCGATTTCATCACGATTCTTCTGTTAAACTTAGAGAATAATTATACATTCTTATTGCTCAAAGGTAGAGTCCAATAGTGTTATAAAAACCTCGGAGATTTCCAATAAGATATCTTTAATCATTTCTAAGATACAACAGTTCAGAGCTTAATCTAACAATTAGACAATTTTGCTGTTACATGATTTGAACAATTTTACCGTTACACTCGGCATATATATATATATATATATATATATATATATATATATATATATATACAATTGAACATTGAAGTCAACATGCAGAGGCGACACGCTGTTTCATGCTGGACGCAATCGTCAGGACGATTGCCTCCAGCATGAAACAGCCTGTCGCCTCTTGCCTCCAGCAATGTTCACTTTTTTATTTATATTTGCATACGCTCTATCTCTGATATTGAGCACTTTATCCCATAAATATAATATTAAAACACTATATATATATATATATATATATATATATATATATATATATATATATATATATATATATATATATATATGTGAAAATATATAGAAAATAGGAAGGAACTGGTTAGGTAAATAATCCAAATGAGACCTCTTATGTAGCGATTTGGAATCATATTTTTAAATAAATATATATATATATATATATATATATATATATATATATATATATATAGGTACGAACCTTTTATTTTAAAAACCTTTCGTTAAAAAAAGGTAGACAAGGAAGATTTAATTATTTTTTATTTATTTTTTCAGCGTCCTTAAGTTCTTTCGTTTAATAGGAGTCAGGCAGTACAGGAATTTTCTATAATTTGCATTGTCACAAGAGCTTACGGCCACTTCCTGGACCCCTTTCAAGGGGACTTTGTTTCTGGTGTTGTTAGTTTTTCTTCATGTTTTAACTATTTAAATTGCATTGACTTGTTTTTATTGTTTCTCTAAAACCCTGATTTGTTCTCATGCATTCTTTTTTTTTAAGTTCTCAAATGAAATATTTTCTTACTTTTATCTCGTTTCTGTCGACAATGTTTTAAAATTTCTTCTAAAACTGTTTTCCTGTCGGTATAGTCTTTAAGTTTCATACATTTTACCATTTCCCCATATTATGGGTAAGAAATATTCCTAGGATTGTCTTTGTTTAATACGTCATTCATTTGACATCCATTCCATTCCTCGTGACAGTTCATGAAACACTCGGGAAAAAGGCAGGCACAAAAAAAGGATAAGTTAAGAAAAATATTAATAAAATATCTCTTTTTAATCTGAACAATTCGAAAATATTTTTTTTTGTCTGTAATACTGGGATAAGGAGTTATTATTTATTTATTTTTGTAACATGGAGGTCCACTCTCCATAGAAGTGGCCCTGCTTTTTATGCAAGTAACTATCTATAATTAATGGCAAAATTCCTTTTCATTTAGCCTAATATTCGCAATTTTTTATTATCAGGACATTTCGGCCGTTGTTCTCTCTGGTTTTCTTCAGATGTCTGTAAATCTATGTAACCTTCAGAGAATCTTTAGCTCAGCGGAATGAGGACAATGCAATAGCATGCTGAAAGGGGTCAGAAGGTGCGACAGTGCAGGGCATCCATATCAGGAGTGGTGGGTGCCATCAAATCAAAGACTGAAATCTGAAATGGGAAATAATAGTTTTCGAAATTTGAAGTTGTACAAGCATTGAAAAGCCCTTCTCATGGAAGTTGCATGGGGAATACATGAACATCGTAGTTCTTTTCCCAGTATTCGACTCCCAGCGTCTGACTCCCAGCGTCCGACTCCCAGCGTCTAACTCCCAGCGTCTGACTCCCAGCGTCCTAATCCCAGCGTCCGATTCAAGCGTCAACACCCAGCATTCCGATTCGACCGTTCGACTCCCAGCGCCCGACTCCCGCGTTTGACTCCCAGTCTCCGACTTCAGCGTCCAGCTCCCAGCATCCGACTCTCAGCGTCCGACTCCCGCGTTTGACTCCTAGTGTCCGACTCCAGCGTCCAGCTCCCAGCATTCCGATTCGACCGTTCGACTCCCAGCACCCGACTCCCGCGTTTGACTCCCAGTCTCCGACTCCAGCGTCCAGCTCCCAGCATCCGGCTCCCAGCGTCCGACTCCCGCGTTTGACTCCCAGTGTCCGACTCCAGCGTCCATCTCCCAGCATCCGGCTCCCGCGTTTGACTCCCAGTGTCCGACTCCAGCGTCCATCTCCCAGCATCCGGCTCCCAGCATCCGGCTCCCGCGTTTGACTCCCAGTGTCCGACTCCAGCGTCCAGCTCCCAGCATCCGGCTCCCAGCGTCCGGCTCCCAGCGTCTGACCCACCAGCTTCCGACTCCAGCCTTCAACCCCAACGTTCTACAACGATAACTCCCGAAATCCAACTTCAAATATCTGCCGAAAAGAAAAAAAAATAGAAAGCTATAATTGAAGGAATTATATAATTTCTAAAGAAAAGGAATATCTAGTTTAACGGGGCTAGATGAGACAACCAATGAAAATGCAGCTAAGTTTTAAGCAACTCTCGGACTGTAGGCCAAATATGATGTAATCGTAGCAGAAAACTTTCAGAAGCAGACAAAAGAAATCAGAAAGTGTCACCAACATGTCCAACAGAAGTCAAAAAAGAAATAATCGATCTTCTTGGTAAAGAATTTCTGAAATTAAAGCTGAAAAATGTTTTAGCATCATGCTGCATTCAACTCCAGATATTGTCCATGAAGATATTATTGTCTATGAAGATATTTTAAAATATTTTTGCAGTATATTCCGATTGATAAAAAAGAAAAGTATAAATAAAGGAGGTATCTGGGGTTTTTTTGGGGGGGTGGTATCAAATCAACTAGGAAACACGCAGTCAGTTTGGCAAATAAAATTCTGAAAAAAATGCAAGATGACAAAAATTCTATAAATGACTATCCCGGCCAAGCATATGATATCTCGGCGGTTAAGGCTAGAGAGAGTGGAGGTGTTCAACAAAAAATGTTTGACATCAACCGTAAAGTTGTATTTTTGAATGGCGAGCTTACGGTAATATCTCATTGAAAGACTGGTTCCCATACGATCACCGAAGTTAAGCAACGTCGGGCCTTGTCAATACCTATTTGCGTAACCGCTTGGGTATACCAAGTGCTATACCTTGGATGTGTAGGTGATGCAATGGATAATGGCTAAGCATTTGAAATTGGAGAGTAGAGTTCTAATTTCAGTCGAGTTCTTTATATTTATTTAAACGCAAATAACTTTGGGCAAGTTATGAATCTACCTCTTCCCTCGGGTATTTTTTTTAAGTTCTCAGATGAAATATTTTCTTACTTTTATCTCGTTTCTGTCGACAATGTTTTAAAATTTCTTCTAAAACTATTTTCTTGTCGGTATAGTCTTTAAGTTTCATACATTTTACCATTTCCCCATATTATGGGTAAGAAATATTCCCAGGATTGTCTTTGTTTAATACGTCATTCATTTGACATCCATTCCATTCCTCGCGACAGTTCATGAAGCACTCGGGAAAAAGGTACGCTCAAAAAAAGGATAAGTTAAGAAAAATATTAATAAAATATCTCTTTTTAATCTGAACAATTCGAAAATATTTTTTTTTGTCTGTAATACTGGGATAAGGAGTTATTATTTATTTATTTTTGTAACATGGAGGTCCACTCTCCATAGAAGTGGCCCTGCTTTTTATGCAAGTAACTGTCTATAATTAATGGCAAAATTCCTTTACATTTAGATTACTAGTTGATTAGTAAATCGTTATGAGCCAAAATAATTATACAATCTAAAAATATTTTCTGGCTTTAAATTACCTGCAAATCGGTTGATAACAGGTGAAAAACTAATTAATCAGTCAATTGCGAGAAACAGAGCCACAATTTGGCCCATGTCTATACAAGTGAAATCTAACATATATTTGTTACGTATTTTGGAGGTTTTTTTTCATCTTGTATGGAAGTGATACAAGGTGGGTTTAGCTGTACGATGCTGTGTATGTAATCCATGAAACAGCTACCCGGCAGCTATACAGGTTCTATAGGGAATTTTTGGCCGATCCTACGGGCTCGGATACCCGACATTAAATTCGGCCTTGTGCCACATCTGACTGCGTTGGGCGGTTAGTAGATATCCTGCAGTTGGAGATTCATCGTGGAATTCATTTAGCTCACTTCTAGCAGTTAACTACTTCTTCTACACGCCGCTAGCAAATCTTATATGTGTTGTTCTTGTCCTAAGTATTATCGTTCATTACCAACCTTCGTGTGATTATTCTATTCAGTAACCTCTCCCTAGGTCACGACAGATATATTATTATCCGTCGTCTTTTTTTTTTATCATTAAGCTTCGTTCTCCATAAAAGTAGTCCTTTTTAATACAACTGTCTATAAGATATTTTTGGTTCACTGATTTATTTTGGTTTATTTTGTTATATGGTATATTAGCCTCTATGGCTTATTTAATGCCGACAAGATTTTTTCAGATAGGTTCGTATGAATAGAATATATATTCATTGCTGATAATATTTTTTGTTTTCAAAAATGTATTGCTGTTAATATTTAAAAAAAAAATAATGTATTGCTGGTAATATTTTACTTTTTAAAAATGCAATATTTTTTTTCAAAAATGTATTGCTGGTAATATATTTTTTTTCAAAAATGTATTGCTGGTAATATTTTTTTTTTTTAAATGCAATATTTTTTTTTCAAAAATGTATTGCTGATAATATTTTTTTTTCAAAAATGTATTGCTGGTAATATTTTTTTTTTCAAAAATGTATTGCTGGTAATATTTTTCTTTTTAAAAATGTGCTGCCGGTAAAATTTTTTGCTTTTAAAAATGTATTGCTGGTAATATTTTATCCAAAATGTATTCCGTCCTGGATATGACGATAAACTACATTCATATCCTGGGTAAGACGATAAACTACGTCCAGCAGCAAGGCCTCTGATCAGAAGGTTTTGAGGTGGTCCCATACTTCCGATCAGAGGCCTTGCTACCAGATGTAGTTTATCGTCATACCCAGGACGCGCAGAATTCCTTCGAATTAAATAAATACCGTATATTTCCACATATAAGGTGAACTATAGATGAGATGAAACCCAAAATCTAAGTAAATTTTCGTAATTCTATCTATAAGACGACAGAAAAAGTAGAAATTAGGCCTCTGATAATAAAATAAAACTGACATTATTACAAATGTTGTTATGCTTACCTATATCGTTATCAAATGAAAAGGAATTAAACAAACGTAAAGTATTAACAGGAATCTTTATGAGAAGAACAATAACGATTTCATTCTTAGGACTTGTACGATGAAAACAAAAGTTGCGTATTCTGTAATGAGAAATAAAGATTTTATGGCATTTTCAATGTTTTGTGATTAACACTCCAAATAAAATACGGTATTATATATATTATTGAAAAATAAAGTTTGCATGTCATATTAAATGCTGTTGTCATTTAACACTATAATTAAAATGATTTTCAATTAGAAATAAAGATTTTATGTTATCCTAAATGTTGTTATTTAACACCACTATGAGAAGTAATGATTGGCGTAAACGTTGCCATAGCTCTACAAATGATTTGTTTATATTACATTCTGCCTTAACCAGGTATTGAACTCACACTCTTTGGGTCCTGTCACTGGCAGTGGAGAACTTTCAGAAGGAAATTAGCAGGAGATAACTGATAACTGACATCCATCACACATGGCACGTGGAACTCGAACAGTCTACCCCAGTGAGCGAAATAAAGGGTTCAGTTCGACATTCCAACCACCTGAAGAAGGCCGGAGCGTACAACGGCCGAAACGTTGTGATAAATATGGCGACAAAGATGAGGACAATAGTCCGACTAATGTAAATAATGTATCTTCTTCCAATACAAAATTTAACCCAATGCAAGACTCGAGAGCCACTCAAGTAGAAGGTTGCACTTAAAATGTTAATAAATAATGCAGTAAGTGACGTGGCTGAGTGTTTAGAACGTCTGCATTCTGACCATAAGACCCGGGTTCGAATCTCACCATGATCGATTTGTCAGGAAGCAGACTTCTTGATTTTATCGGACTGGTGGGGTCTTTCCCAGCGTGCGGCACCTTTGGAAAGTGCCTGAAAAACTCTAGTAGGGTTTGACCCAAGCCTTGTGAGTAAAATTGGATAGACGTGATAGATAGCTGTGCTAGCACGAAGTCACAAGTCATTGTGGCTGAGGGCTTGAGCGTGCTGGCCTTGTTAAAACTGTTGATCACGCTAGATAACACGCTCTCTCCCAGAAAATGTAACTGTTATGTAGTGGTTTCCCAGTGGAGGCTTGTATTTGTACTAAGTCGGTCCTAAAATAGGTTCGACATACAAAACGTTAGGAATTTGATATAATAAGTAATGACGCAGAGAAATCTAGTTGCGGTCGCTGATACTTTAGTATCTGACTAACGGTCGTCCGGCATCGACTGACTGACCGACTCTTCGTTACTATTACTACTCCTACTTATTATAGGTGGTAGAGTCTATTAACTATAGAATAGGTGTGTTCCACTATAACAGTAACTAAGGTCTGCTCAGTATAGTTGCAGTATAAACCACGAGTGGGCTCTGTGGGTGATGAATAAACACAAATGCGCCTGAGAAAGCGTCTGCAATAGGGATTGGCTAGCCGCCCTAATAGACGGGTATCCTCGAATACGAGTGGCCAGCTATATAATGAGACACGGATGTAAAAGTACATTGTGGGAAGTGAAAGATTATGAATAATTATTGATTGATTAAACATTAATATTGGAAAGAGCAATAACGGCTATTGGACAAGAGAAACCTGTTTTCCTAAAAAACGTTGTTTTAAGAAAAATATTTTATAAATTTCAACCGGATGTAGTATTGGTTGCTCGGTCAATGAACGTGTTATGGTGTAGAACCATAGAAAGATAACACGGACTCGGATATAAGGTTAAATAGTAGATTCTTGGAAACGTAATACAAAGATAAATGTGGACTGGAGAGTACTTTCTCTCACTGGTGTCCTGACGCACTCATTCACTCACTCACTCACTCTATGGCTACTACTCGGTGACCCTCACTTAGTGACTCACTTTATTCAGAGTTGGTAGCCATATTATGTAGGTGTGGAAGAGTCCATTTGTAGGAAGGTCCCCACAATAGAATGCCAAATGTTTCCTTGTAGGGAAACGGCTATTTAGCATTACCATGTCATAACAACGAAGATGTGTCACTACTGACATTGGAATGATTTAATCAATCTCTGTCAGATTTTGGATATTTTTCAAGAAGATATATTTTTTGCAATTTTCAGTCTGAATACCTGAACCTGAAAGAAAGAAAAAAAAAAAAAACAACGCGGTTCCCTTTCTTTCATAGTAAATCATTCGGTTCGTATTTAAAAGTTTCATTCCAAATTTTGATGATCTTGTATAATTTCTGAATGCAACTTCACATTAAAAACAATAAACACCCTTTCGAAATATTCTCTAAAGCGTGAGATAATAAAAGATAAATATGGATTAATTTCTGTTCTGTTTGACTCGTAAATGACGCCATTGTCAGTAATTGTGTATTTACTGCTTGTAATTCTGAGTCAAATATTTGTGTATATCTACTTATGTCCCAGCATATTGTTAGGCCATTCGGAAAATAATGTCCGATTTTAGAATTTAAACAGTGTTAATAGGAACCCAGGAGATCTAAAGATACCATCGAATTACATGGCTATCTATACCTTTATAATAAAACCTGGTTTGAATAAAACGGAAATCATTATAATTTTCATTGAATTCTGTTTACTATCCAAGGTTAAAGAACCCAGATTACCCTGCAGGGAGAAGAAGAGATGGATTCATACCTTTCCCAATGGTATTTATTAAAATTGAATGTAACGAACCCGACTGAATTCGAACCATCAAACAAAATAAAACGGAAATCATTATAATTTTAATTGAATTCTCTTTACTATCCAAATTTATGAGGCTTTTTTCTTTTATAATGGTAATAACCCAATCTACCCTCGCCATCAGAAAAATAAAACGGAAAGATTATTCAATACTTTTCCCAAGGCTAAATATTCAGTCTACCCTGCAGGAAAGAAGAGATGGATTCATAACGAAAGTCGAATCCGACTGGAA